ACTATTGATTGAAAAAAAATGATATCTCTATTTATATAATGGTATCCTTTATATTTTTTTTCTTTTTTATTAGCAATTTTATAAATTATGAATTACTTATATATGGTTATATTATCGAAAGATACGTAAATTACAACAATTACAATTACCATTTAATGCATGTATGATTGAAAATCAATTACATTTCATTTTGTACATTTTGATAAAAGAGAATTATTAATTTTTGGACTCATTAGATATATTATTCGTTTAATATATATATTATACACTGGAGTCAATTAGTAATTAGTATGAAAGAAAAAAAAACCTATATTTTAAAATTCTCTGCGATGATATTTGTCAGGATCAAAATATGATGTTACAACAACACGATTATTGAATTTTCGTCCTGTTAGAGTCTGCTGTGCTTTCTGACAATCAATCACGCTATTAAATTCGACAAATACCTATAACATGAAAATTTTGTTAATACATTATTTAAAATTAAAATAAATTAAAACATATTTATATTGAATAACATACTTTCCCACATCCAGGTACATCAACTCCTTCTATAGGTCTGGGTATTTCCACAGATCGAACCACACCATATTTATTACATTCTTCTTTGATGTCTTCTAAAATATCTTCATATTCTTCTTCTTCCATTAATTCTTCTGGTGTTACCATATTTAGCAAACAAAGAACCTGTGTATAATAAAATATTTTTCTTAATCTAAATTTTTATGAAATATAAATCAAAAATTATAATTTAATACAAAGATAGATAAATATAATATGGAATTCAAATGTAATAGATTATAATTCAAATTATTTTACCTCAGTAGCAGGTCCACTTGTGCCCACCATTGATAATCCAGGCACCTGAATTTGGACTGGAGCTTGTGCACCAATCATAGGATTCTTGGCACCAACACTAGCTCGTTGAACAATCAGTTTCTTGTCTCCTAACTGCATTCCATTTAATCCAGCAATTGCTTGATCAGTCATTGATACATCAACATATTCGCAGAATGCATAACCCTTGGATAGACCTGTAGCTGAATCCTTTACTAGATTGAATGCTCTTAGTTGTCCAAAACTCATCAGTAACTCCTTCACCTGTATTGTAGAAATTACATTACTTATTTAATCATATAATATTATATAATTTAAATTCATGATAAACTATGCAACTTTTAAATCTAATTTTATATTTTTCAATACAATTAATACAGATATTTTTTACTATTAAAATATAATAATTATAATAGTTAATAATTTAACATGTTTACTACATATCAAAAATATGAAATTTAACTATGTATATATTTTAAGTAGATTTCTTAAAAACCTTAAAAATCTATTGATCTAAATTATAATTAAACATTAATAAATTAATTTTTATAAGAGCGTCTAAATGTAATTATAAGTATAATTTCATTTTTATGCTTTTTATGCTTCAAAATTTAAAAAAATGAAAAATTTTATATACAAATTTTAATGTACACGAAAATATAGTATATATAAATAATAATGTAATATATATCATAAATAATCTAAGAAAAAATAAAATTAAATGATTTAAATACGAATATATAACATAAATATATAAATAATATAAATATATATATTATATATTATGTAATGTAATCAAAATTTCATGGTATTGTAAGATTTCATATAAAGTAAAACTTGTTTACACTTTATACAAACTATATACAATATATTTGACAATTATTTACTTAATATATGTGTAATTTACATATACATAAAATTTTAAATGTTATTAACAAAAGAATATCTTGAATTAAACATATGATATACAGATAATCATGTTAAATATTACTATATATTTTATTTTATTTGTTAAAATTAAAATATAAAGTTAATTTATATTCAAATTATTAAATTATTAACATTAAATTTAGTTTGAAATTTAACAATTTTTAAGAATTAAATTATATCATATGAAAGTTGCATAATCCAAGAATAATAAATTTTTTATAAAAATGCATAAATTATATCTCGAGAATTTCATTTATCATTTTCATTTAATGTCTTTCTTACATACAAAAGTTTTACTCCAGTCTGGAACAGATCTCAATGTTTTGAATATTCTTGTTCTTCAAATGTGGATTTTCCTTATATTTATATTAATTTTCTCTTCAAAAAACATGTACCTTAAGATTACTTACGTCTTTCCATTTCCAAGAAGTACTGAAAACTCTGAAGCAGAGATAACAGCATGTTGCATTCAATAAAACTTATTCATCCTCATATTTGGAAATCAAAACTTTCAAATAAATATAATCTATGTAATTTTCACAAGTTTTCATAATCAATTCAATTTTTTCAAGACAAAAAATGTAACCTAACATATCTAAGAAATTATATACTATCAAGGCATTCCAATGAAGAACCCATTAGAAAACCATATATATATATATATTTGGATCATCATATACATATACATATACTATATATATACACTATAATATTTAGAAGATTAAATTATTACTATTTTAAGTAATTACAGAAATAATAAGATTAATTCCTATTAAAAAATCTCCAAGAAATCAATCAACATTCCCTATCATGTTATTAATCCTTGTGAGTAAGCAACACGCTATTATCAATAAAAAACTATCCAATTAGAAAACGCACCATTTACTTAGAAGAACCAAGATCTTCAGAAAGGGGGCTGCAAAAATCGCATAAGCCCAATACGAAGGCATGAAAATGATATAAGTACTTGCCTCGAGGGACTGGGCTAGCCTCTCTCCAGGCAGTGTGGTATTTTGTCATGTTCAGTAGTAGTAGTAGTGGTAGAAGTAGTGGTAGAAGTAGTGGTAGTGGTAAGCAAATGCTTTTGATCGGCGCAACCCTAAGCTAAGAAATGGGGAGAAAGGGCACTGGTATCAGTCCACAGTTACTATATAATAACCAAATGGTTATATTTTTTGTGATTGTATTATTCCAACAATGTATCACTTTAATATCACATTATTAACTTTTCCGACGTTTTTTTTCACATTTACCGACTTTTATTTTTCTTACTTTCTCTTTGCACTTTGTCTTTGTATTAATGCACATTACTGATACTCGAACACATAAGTTCGTTCGCGTAACCTGTAAACGTAACAAGGCACAAGGACGAAGAGCTGTAAAGCCTGTAAAAGCCTGTAAGAAAACAGCTGCAAGAGAAAAGATACTCCTGAAAAGAATAGATGCCAAAAGACTTGGAGCTGTTACCAGATGCACATAAGATTATGTGTTGACCCTGTAATCCCATCAAGACAAAAAACAAAAAAACTGATATGCTAGATAAAATTGATTGATTCGTCTGTTATAATCCTAAAAAATCTTTTTGTATATAATACCACTAGATAAAATCAAACTCATTCTGTAAGAGTGAAAATATGAAGAACTTTCACTTTTAAAAATTTTGCCTAACAATTTTGCATGTTTGTTTTGAGTGTAACTACTCCTCTTCTCCCCTCCTATCCCTTCCTTTTTCAGTCACTTATTGAAAAATTTCGTATTCCCTTGGCTGGGTCCACGATGTTCCTAGAAAGATTGTAAAAGAAATACGACTGCTGCGACTGCATACCATCTGAATGCTGCAACGCCTCTAACCAATTCCCTAACCACTATCTAATCATGGTATTTTGAGAAGAAATACGAGACGAAATTCTACCTTAGACTTGACCAAACAAACAAATGGAATTGGAGCCACCTAGCTAAATAAAACCTAATCAACGCTGGAATCCAATGGATACACATACATACCTCTATGGCATTTGGGCAGATGATACCATCTTCGAAAGTTTGATCTCCGCTAAATAGCTAAATACCTATGTAATAATTTAATCCTTTGGTATAACTCACAATGCTGAGAACTAGCATATGTTCAAAGTAATCCTACAGCATTGTTATTACAGCAATGCAGTTGTTTTAATCTCTGATGTCCTTTGTATGTATACTTAATACAAATTTATCTTTATACTTTATCAAATTTTTTATGAAAAATAACAGACATCAGTGAATAAAAACTGCTTCCAAAGGTGTGCAATTAACAAAACTGTATTATAGACTTGTTTGCATACCTGTTCTTCATTCAAGTAATTGGGTAAACCACCAATGAAGATCTTGTGAGGAGAGTCTATAAAAATAAAATATTATATTATACATTACATAAAAAACATAAAAAATATAAAAAATAAATATTTTAAAGATATATAAAAA